TTTTTTTTGGGTTCATTCAGGATACTTGAAAAATATTTTAACTTACAGAAGATATGTTGTGTATCACTAGCCAAATTATATCACAACTTCCAACTAATGGAGTTGATGGTTTGTTGCAAATTTCTAAATATAGGGTGTAATATTTTGCTGATCTTACAATCTTTCTTAGCACCCAAAAATTATGGTCATTGGAAGCAATATTATGTAGTCCTATTTCTATAGCAACTGATTTTAAGAATATCGTTTGTTAGAATCAGCGATGCTCTCAGCACCAATTTAACAACGTTTATATGTTGGTTATATAGTTTTCTTATGTAAAGAAGCTCTTTCTGAAACTTCTATACAATTTTGGCAGGTACTCTATCTGGTTGGATAGCAAATTACGTCTCCAGCTTGATCCTCTACTCATATTGGAATACTTCCTGTGGCGAAAGGGTCATGAGTACGCAATCTCAAATCACTACGACAGACATTGTGTATGGGAAGAGGTTGTGCGAAATAAGAAACTGAACAAGTACAATCATACCATCATAGATCAACAATTTGAATTTTATCAGGCTGATGGATTGACAAGATTTAATGCCTCAGATCCAAACAGGCTTCTTCCCAGCAGTAATGATCTTTCTTCTTGATCATCATAACTTGAATGTACATTTTCTTAGTGATCTCATACATATTCTTTTTCCCATTGGCAGATGTACCGGAGGGGTCGTTTATCATACGAGCACACACACCGATGTCAAATTTGTTCTCTTGTCTGTGGTTCAATGAGGTTGACCGATTTACTCCTCGTGATCAGCTAAGTTTTGCGTATACATACCAGAAGTTGAGAAGGATGAATCCTGGAAAGCCTTTTCATCTTCATATGTTCAAGGTAAACGACTAATAATCAGAATTGCATCACATTCACCTACCAAAATTAGAGAAAACTGTAATGAGATGCAGCCGTAGGATCTCTTGCTTTGACAATTAAACGAGCAATAAAAGATTGGTTGTAAAGGAGCATGTCATGAAAGTAATATTGATTCATTTTCTGGTTTTAAACATTGCAGGACTGTGAAAGGAGAGCTATTGCTAAATTATATCATCACAGGTCAGAGGAGAAGAGGAACACTCGGTGATAGGAAACAGACTGAATAATATTTTCTTGTATTGGCATTTTTTGGAATTTGGTTTCCATAGATGGAGCTCAGCCAAGCTGATCCTCAGTGCCTTTTGGAGTCATCTGCTTTAAAAAATATCAATATACAGCAGGCTGCTATTTCCAAACATGGTACACGACACTTGTGATTTTAGCATGAGCGAAGTCTACTGCGATGCCGAATTTTTTCTTGGGTGACCTCTTGGGGCAACAACATCAGCAGTGCCAGTTGCTTCCTTACCCGCGGGTGTGTATCTGTAGAATAGAGAGAATTTCCAATTTACATTTTCTTTTTCATTATATTCATTTTATCTTCGTCATTATTTCGTCCCAAGGCAAGTGAAGCAGCAAATACCTTCGGACCCGTAATGCCACTAAAAATATAGTTACTTCCATGTGCTTCGCAATTGGTATTCATGTTTTATTGCTGACTTTAGAAGTTTTGGTAGTATTAGCCGTGTATGACATTGAGAAATACGAAATACGATTGGATTATTGATTTGGCATCAGCTATTCTGCTGTCTACAATATGTTTTATTTTCTGGTTTTTCTCGTGAAATCATTTTGGTTTTTCCCTTTTTCGAAGTGAAAGTATAATCCTTTTATGATTTCTGAGTTATTGTCCTCTGTTTCTTTGAGAGCAAAGTACAATAACAGAATCTCTAGTGTTGATGTTGAAGAGTGGACACAACACTACGTGTGCATGGTATTCGGATGCGGTACTCCGCATCGTAACCTGTACGGAAGGGAAAATGTCTCTCATCAGTACGGGGTACTCCAGGGTGTCGACTAGTAACTCTGTGATGCTTAAGTCAATACGCTGAACAAGAAGTCAAGTAGAGAGGCAGAATAACGTAAATTAATTTCATAATTTACGAATTTTGCTAGGACCGGTAATATGCGTCACGACATGACAACACGACATGAATTTCGTGAGTGAGAGTTGATAAAAAAAAGTTCGGGTAAGAATTGAATCGATCTGAAATTGATATGAAAAACACATATCAATTTCGAATTGGATCCGCTTAACCTGAACAATATACGAAACTCGTAAAAAATTAAAAAATATATATATATATATATA